GTAATAAATCAGGGTCATTATTTAAGATGTTGCAGGTATGTGTTTGATCTTGGATCTTGAGGGCCATCCTAGACAACAGGAAGCCACTGCTTCATGTTTGACAGACGCTCTTCCCTTCCCTTCTCTTCTTTTAATCTCCAGATAACCAGGAGCTAGATGTAAACAAAAATTGGAACTGAAGAGTTCCCAAAACCTACTTACACCCTGTTTTCAGGGTGTAGTCCTGCCCCAGCAGTTTTTTAGGTTTCCTTGAGTATCACTTTCTGGTGTTTTTGCTATTTTCTCAAATATCAGAAATATCATTTTGGTGAATTTAATTGAAGTTTTTATTTGATTTACTTTTCTTACCATTTAAATTTGTGTCCCTCCTTTGTTGTTATTTGATCATTTATGATAAAATAATTATGGACAACATGCAACATTGCTTGAATGATTACTTTGGTATTTTCTCAGGTTTTTCTTTAAAAAAAACAGGGACAACAGATTTTTTAGTTTTCCATCTGTTTTTTCATTGTTACATTTCTTATTTTTCTTACACAGTATGAAACTGACAGTAAACAACTAAAAACAAAAAATGGATGCCTTGATGGTGTATCTTTGCATATGTGTGTTTGTTGGAGGGCGACTCTTGATGAAAAGCCTGCATTGGATTTTGTTTATTTTATTATTTTACTATATAATGCCATTCAGAGTGATCCATTAAAGTGAAAATTAGAATGACTCACCTCTTTGGCTTTGTTGCGACTCCTCATGTTCTCAGCGATGTACTTGACACTCTCGATGGCCTGTTTGATCTCAGGTGACACCACGGAAAAGGCCACCACTGTGTTGATGCTTTGGGGACTCAGCTGACGCGTCATCTTCCCCATGTCTGGTGTTTCTGGGGTCTCATTCCCATGTTGGCAGGGGCAAGGGCATTTCTTCCCAGTGCAGCCCTCCACGGACGAGAGCTTACTGTCCCCAAACTCCAGACAGTTGAGGGAGCCTCCTCCGACCTGCTGGGGATCACAACCAGAGTTCAGATTAAGCTTCACATTCTGCTTCAACTCACAGTCGACATCTTTCAGGTAATAATTTCATATAAATTAATGGGATCTCTAGGAAACATCTCTGGGATCTGAGCAGAACAACTTTAACAAGGTGATAACAAGGACAGACTTGTTTCTTTCCATTGTTTTGGGGAGTGAAACATTAATGAGGGCTTCCTTCGAGCTCTCAGTGTTGACCATAAAGAACTTACGTATGGATCATACTGTATATACATTGTGTGTGAGAACTTGGTGGTACTTTCAAGAAGCAAGTAGCCAGATCATTAAGGGGTTACAACATTGGAAAGTGGGAAGACGGAAGACTGTTGTATGGTCCAACAAGCAAGCTATAGGTGATCTGATTCCCAGAAGGGGAAATATTTTTTATACAGGAATATCTTTTGTTGAGGAAACAGTTCAGTTGCTTCTGCTAGCTGCTCTTCCATGCTATAACTGCCTGAGATCTGGCAAAATCAATGACGACTGTGATGGTTCCTAGTCCCACAGCTGGAACACTCTTGATTGATAAAATTTTTGAAAGTACACTGACTTGTTTTTCAGAGCTGAATAAGCAGAAATCATCATCTTCAGCTGCACAAAGATGCTGATTGGTTGAAAAGAGGTTTAAGTCAAAACTACACTATAGTGCACTAGCGAAAAACCTTCAGAGAAGACTCTTCTCTCTCATTACTGAAGCATATCATAATCAACACTATATGGAAGTAGACAGAGTTTTAAAGTTCAGATACATCAGTGAATTAACTCTGTCCCGAGACAAGCATGTCAACACTGGACAGTTCTGCAGAACCCCAGATTACGTGCAGTGACAATGCTTTTCTACGTCTGATGGTGCTGTTTTTTCTTGCTTTCTACAATCTCAATTTTCATCATTTTTGCATGGCAACTATGGTATGGTTATGGTTAGGGAAAGGTTGTGGTTGTGGCAAACTATGCTTACAGTATGTTTAGATTCAGAAAAGCTTGCTTTTGCAGTTAAAATAATTATCACAGGTTTGTGAGGATTGCTTGAAAGTTGGACTTACTACACACTTACATGCTCATCCACCATTGCGACCTTCACACACGTACTGTGCACCTCGCTACCTAGAAGGCACGCTGCATCCTGCATTGGTACTGAATGTAGGCATCGTGAGGTGCAGAATCATCCCATATGGACATAATTCTCAGGGCTACAATGAATAATTTAAACATTTCTTCAATAATATACAGTGCAGTAACTGTGACTTGTGTATCTTAGTTTTTTGCTTCTCCTGATCTCGCATTGACCTTCACTAGATGCCTAGAGGGGCCACTGTCTTTGTTTAAAATAACAGGTCCTGACCTGAACTAGATGCTTTTGGATGTGGACGCCTTACCTGCATCAAGCTATTCTTCCTTTTCTTCCCTCCTTTCCCTCCTCCGCCTCCTCCTCCCCCTCCAGCTCCTCCTGCCTCCCCACTGCTGTCCAACCCCCCAGCTTTGCTGTCTTCGTCAATCGGCCTCCGCATCAGCATAATCCTCGGCAACACTTTGAGAAACACAGAGCGCACCCAACCCGGCATAGTGTGGGTCATTGGCGTACGGTAGTGTACATTCAGCACGAACACAGTGATGACGATGCTGAGTGTGACGAAGATCATTGTAAAGAGCAGATACTCTCCAATGAGAGGGATGACAAGCGATGTGGAGGGGATGGTCTCCGTGATAACGAGCAGGAACACAGTGAGGGAGAGCAGGACGGAGATACAGAGCGTGACCTTCTCTCCACAGTCAGACGGGAGATAGAAAACCAGCACTGTGAGGAAAGAGATGAGGAGGCAGGGGATGATGAGGTTGATGGTGTAGAAGAGTGGCAGGCGCCTGATGTAGAAGGAGTAGGTGATGTCTGGGTAGATCTCCTCACAGCAGTTGTACTTGATATCATGCTTGTAGCCCGGAGCGTCAATGATTTCCCATTCACCACTCTCCCAGAAGTCTTTCAGGTTCACCTGGGAGATGGAGAACAATCTTAAAATCATATCACATGATTCAACTTAACATTCTTAAAAGGGCCCTATCAGTCAATACAATACATACAAGGCTCATTTTTGTCTGATAGATTTTGGTAGAAAATGCAAATCAACTTTAAACTGATTTTCACCTGCAGGCACCCAAAATACTGTATGTTTCTGCAAGAAGACGCTTATGTAGTTTACCGTAAATATAATCATCTTGCAATGCTTATAGCTTTTTTACAAGTCAGAAAATATTGCAGTGTCAGTAGTCAGATGAAGTGGGGAGGAAAATGGGGAGAAAATGGAGGTGCAGCCACTGATTATCCCTCTGTCATACTACTCTCTATTTTAGATCTTTTTGTAATTTTTTGCTGGATTTATATTCAAAATACACAGTGATAAATGATGTTCAAATGGGTACTGCAGCAATTCCATATTGCACTTAAATACTCACTTTTTTCAAATGCCATATTCAGGATAACCCTAATGACTTCAGCATGACATCATCAGAGAACTCCTTCCAATAAAAAACAATAATAATGATTCCTATAGTAAATACCTGTAGTGTCTAATCAAATAAGAGTATCAAATCAGTGTTTTTTCTGGATGTAGGATAGACAGAAAAATAATGAAAGAGATAGTTGATAGTTACGCCAGACTTGGACACAGTCACAGGCACTGACCTTAGACCCAATAAGTACCAGGTCAATCTTGGCTTTGTCATAAGTCCAGGACCCAAACTTCATGGAGCAGTTCTGATAGTCGAAGGGGAAGTAGGTAATGTCCATGGGGCAGGAAGATTTGAAAATGGCTGGAGGAACCCAGGTGATGGTACCATCAAACTTCAGCAGAGCCTTGGTCTTATCCTCCACCAGGAAATCACCTACAGCGCTGTATATGACGTGCGTGTGTGTGTGTGTGTGTGTGTGTGTGTGTGTAATCAATGCGAGCCATGGCAGAGTAGGTATGAGGAGATAGGATACAAGCAAGACACAAAGGTTATAGGAAGGCAGAGACGTCAAACAATGAGTGGGAAGGCGAGGAGAAAATGGAAGCAAGGGACACAAGAGAGGGGAGAAGATAAAAAGGTGAAGTTATAGAGGTAAGAAAGAAACCATTAGGATTAAAAGAAAGAGGACAATGGAGCTGCATTACGTATTTTTCTGAAATACTAAATTGCCTTTGATTAACATTGTGAGTCACTGTTGTAAGTTGAAAGAAGAAATGAGAGAACAATTAAGTGAATTGAAATTGGGTCAGCACAAACTGACCCTGAACAATAGACAATCACGTTAGCATATTTCAGTGTTATTACAGTATATTCTGTTGCACAGTGTAGCAGCTAGAGGTATAAAAGAGATTTTGACCATTCTATTGGTCAGTGCCTACCAAATTTGGCCATATGACCATTACAAAATGATTCACATGAGTGGTTTGTGATCTTCCATCTTTATGGATAAGGTAGTTACATTTAAAAAACTAAAAGAAGGTACAATGCGTGTTTTTTGTTTGTTTGTTTTGGCATTTACCCTGACCTTTCCTTTAGGGGATTTGCGGCACTATAACATCATTCTACTATTTTTGTTCCAATAGTCATTATTCACAAGGCCTTTAAAAGGTCGCTTGTTAGGGTGTGAACATAAGTAGTTTTAAGTGTTTGAGGAAACAACCATTGCTGTTGTTTTTCTAGTGATATAGTACTGATATATATATATATATATATATATAGTGATGTTATGATGATGGTAATGATGGTGTTTGTCTCACTTGTTGTAGAGCACAATGTCGGGTCTCCAGATCTTGTTTGATGGTACTCTAATGAACTCTATCCCATCAAACTCTGCCGGCATCCATCGCAGCTTGTAGTCATTCCAAATCTGAGACGAGAACAACATAGTGAGCATACTGGGGAGTCAACCATCTGTTTTTGTGTTTTGCATTGTACACTGCAGACAGTATTAGTCGCTGGAGACACCCTTCTCCATGAGGATATTTTGAAATACATATTTATACTGCAGGCAGAGCTTCCTTTGATGTTTTACAGTGGATCCAAATAAGGATACTGTAACAAAAACTGATGTTTTCTAGACAAAAGCAAGAGTTTCACAGAGCATCTGGGTGCTTTAATTTTCTATTTTACTGAAAATCAAGGACAAACATGTCTGTTTTTGATGCAGTTCCTCCTGGTAAAAGAGCCACGGAGCTTTAGTAAGCGAATAATAAGGCATCTACAATAGTCGCATCTGTATAAAGAGTTTAGAGTATATGAGCAAATGGCTCACTGAGAGAAATAAAGGATCAGTGCGTTCTGTCAACATACCTGCGGGTAACATTTCATGAGCCATAGATCCATTAGTCTTGGCTACTTGCATGTCATTCAAGATGAATTCATTCATTAGCAAGGGAGATTAATATCCAGTTATGACCTGGGAGCTGTTTAATTAACCACTTCATGCTACACTGACTTTTTCATTTATTTATCCAAGCAGTTTACAATGTGATGGACTGGAGATTTGATTTACCTGGTTTATGGTTTATTGTTTGCAAGATATAGATGATTCTACATTTACTTTCTATGACCACAGCATACATACACTGAGTGA